TGGAATGTCGCAGTGTTTTGAAAAAAATTGTCTAATGAAGTGTACGTTTCAAAATAAGTTAAAAATTCAGTTTTGAGAAGACAAGTCAAAATGTTAATATAGTATAATAATAGTTATAATATAAATATAAATTTTATATAAGACATAAGGAATACCTAGCATAATATAAAAAAACCATAGGATAATACCTTTTATAATATAAAAAAAGCATAGGATAATACCTAAAATAATATGCAATAACAATATTACAGTTTATTACAGTTTTTTAAAATTTTATGTTTTTTCATTTTGAAATGTTTATAATAGTTTTCTGCTATACTCTTTTCAGAATAAGAACGCACCAGATTTAAGAACAAAACCGGTTTTGTCCGTGGCCGCCTGGTTCCTTCTTATTCTGAAAAGAGTATAGACAAAGAATTGTAACCTCTTCAGAGCAAATCATTTTTAATTTTTCACCTTTTAGTACCCTATTTACATTTGCTGTAAAAGCAAACATCAATAAATTGAATGCAGCACTTATAAATAAATGTATAGTATCATGATGTATACATATATTTGTCATTTTAAGTTTAGGATTAATGTTAATTAAAAAATATAATTTTATGTTTGGTTCTTTAAATATAAGATTAATAGTAGAGTTAAATTCGCTTAAAATGTGTGCATATATGTTGGTTAAAATTATTGAAGGAGTTTGTAAAGAACAGTTATTGTATTGTCTAGCTTTTATAATTTGATCATTTCTGAATACGAGTTAACAGCCCATGTACTTCACTACGGTTTGCTAATAAACAAAGTCCTTATAATATTTTGTTGAACGTTGAACATTTTCGCTGAAGAAAAATGGATTTTTCTAAAGAATTGTTGGCAGGGATTTCACTTGCTTGTGTTGGTATAGCCGGAATAGCCTATTTATTTTCCAGACGAAACGATCCAACTTCAGATTATTGTGCAGAACAGAAATATATGTGTTGACCCGGCGATCCTTAAGACCAGATATTGCCTGGTACGATGTCCTCAGGATTGTTGTAGAGTAAGGCTATTTAAATAATTCAAAAATAACAGCGATTTCTGACTATCAGGAGCATGTATTATTTTACCATATGAGCAGCAGCTAATGAATTATTATACAATATTACAATGTTATGACAGGGGGGAAACGGGGATCACCGACTGAGCTGCCTCCCTGGCAGAAGTCTTGAGCTGGTGGACTATAAGTGAGGAGCAGCTGTACTTGGAACACGGGTGCGAGCGTATGCACCGTTGTGTTGTGGAGCGAAGAGCGTTCAACTGCGCACGTGGACGCGAAGTATTGTGTAGAGTAGGTAAAGCTACTCAGAGCTGATTGTCACGAACTTAGCGATTCGAGAACAGACTGGACGACGACAGTCAATAAAATGAGCAATACGAGCTAATCGGCCGAACAACCGCGAAGCGTAAAACAAAACAAGAAAACACGTTTTCCGTAGCTATTCCAAACGGGAAAATATGGCTGACGGACGAGCGAGCAGAGCAAAACGTGTAGACGGAGCTGTCGTGTACTCGTTAAAACGGAGAGTGGCGCCATTTTAACACCAATCGAACTGGTTACAGCAAAGAGAGCGAACTTGTATCTACCACGGAACAATGGCGGATGCCCATGTTGAGCATAGACTGTTATTTTGCTGTTGCGGTTCCTCGTTATAGACCAAATAGTATATATTATAACTTTTAAGCGTCTGATCCTAATAACTTGTGTAATATCTAACAATGTAATAATTTGCTAATAATGTAATAACTTGTGTAATTTATAAACAATATATAATATTTTTTGAAAAATCATCATCTATAATATTATTATTTATTTTAATTTTTAATGATTATCTATACTAATAAAATATTGTTTAGTGCAAATTTGTGCGTCAAATGAGATACAAGACATAAAACTTATGAAATTACATTATACCTCGTAAATACAATATGAATTATATATTTATATGTTTAAAATTTACGAGTTTAATGCACCTACCTAATATTGTTATTAAAAATAAGACGCTTAAAATAACTGATTTTACCCAAAGGGCTCACCCAAATCCTCCTCTCCGTCGTACAAGACTGGTTCATACTCTGTACAACAGTAAACATGATCGATTTTCGTCATAAGGGCTTCTACAACGTCCATCCCGGACATGTTGAAATAGGTAGTCGTCGTCTTGTTGTTGCATAATTTTGTGATGGTTTTGGACGGAAATACGAAGACGGAAACAGCAAAATCATGGGTACGTACTAGCGCCGTCTTAATACAAATTAGAACTAAACTTGACCTACATTATTCTGTTTAAAACAATTAGGTATATAAGTATATTTAATGTTGTTTTATTTTACGAAGAAGTATTAAGTGCATGTCTAAGTATATTTATTAAATTTGAGTAAAATCATTAGTTTAAATTTAAAAATATAATACAACTAATGCTGCAAGTATTATGTGTAACATAGGCCACAGTTTATGATTATTTAAAGAAGAATATTAAATGTATAGAAAAATATTGATAAATCGTTATACCCATCATTCAAGTGGCTTATTTAGGGTGGTTGAGCGGCCCGGCCACCCCCCTTGGTTATTTGTGCAGTATACAACAAGGCTATATAGTATATAAAATATATGGTATTTAATCTAGTGGTTCCCCTCACCTAAGGAGATTTCTCGCCGTCGTATACCTATCTCTAGATGGTAAACAAAATAATCGATGTAAATACTCACACTAATAAATAACTTTATTAAATACTAGCTGCCCGATCTTCCTCCGGAAGGAATTATTTTTTTAAAATTTAATTTAAAAACATGACTATTTTTTGGCTATACAAACAATATAATATAATTTCATATTGTAGTTATTATTATTAGTAATTTCTGAAAATTATATTTCCTACATTTAGAATTCAACCACTGGAGTGGTAAATTTTATTCTTTTTATTATAGAATAGAGATAAGGTAGGAAAAATGTAACAATAAATTATTTGTTCAATGTATAATATATATATTTCAAATGGAAAAATGCAAGTGCAAACAAATCAATAAATAGTTAATAATCATAATAACAATAACAAATACAGTGTGATTCCTTTTAAAGGTAACACTAAATAATTCTGTCCAGTGACATCGGATTAATATGCGGTTTTCGGGAGGGGATAGGGAATACATAAATACACATTTCTTGATGATTTTTACATTTTTAGATCTTTCCGTGTGCGCATGCGCAATACAACTTGCATTTTTTTAAATGGCTACAGGTGTTTTGAATACCAAATTCGGATAGACCGAATTTTTTTAAGTCGATTTGGTCCTTTTTACCATAGCTCTAAAATCAAAACTGACTAAATGGCAACCAGTCAAAGTTTCAATTAAAATTACTGAATTTTTCATATTCATATTTCAATTCATAAAATTCTAGTAAGATTGTTGAAAAATTCTTAAGGCTTGATCAGACCCTTTATTAATATATTTACAAATGTATTTAATTGATTTTACTGAATGACAGCATTCAACATTAATATGAGCATTAAATGTTTTCAATGGTAATGGATTGTATGGAACAATAAATCTGTTATCAATTTCTACCAATGTTGAATTTCGTAATACAGTTGATTTAAATCCACCACTTCCAAAATTCCTTCGTCTGTATAAAGGATATCCATCATCTTCAGTAATAGTACTGCATGTACTAACATGTTAGTAAATGCTTTCGGATACCTAATAGAACAAATGAAATTTTTTTATTAAATATGCTTTTCTTAGCATACCTATGTATAGAATAAAAATGCAAAATAATGTTAATCTTAAACTAATTACGATTTATTACGCAAAACCACCTTAAGTAGGTAACTACATATGGCACTTGAATATATCTACCTTATAACTTGAAAATTAAGTTTTTACTCATAACTTACACTGAAAGTCCTATCAATAAAATTTAACTTTACCATCGTTATTATTTAAAAAAAAGACAATAATTAAAAAAATTGCATAGTATAGGTATATGAGGAAGTTTAAAGTTTAAACTGCATTATTGCTAAAATAGTTTAATAAATACATACGTATGCGCTTTTGCACTAAAAAATAACTAAATACCTACACTTAAACAAATACAAAATATAAGTACAAATGATGAAATTTTATAAATATACTAAATATTTATATAAATTTATAATAGTTATATTAATATGAAATAGATTTAAATATGTATATTGAATATTAAAATGTATTATTACCTCTTTGAACATTTTTGGTTTTCTCCCATACATGGAGAATTTGGATTCATATAACCACATGGGCCATGCACCATGTGTTTTTTAACTATTTCAAATAGTTCAGGATCTATATCGGGGTTTGGTAATTCAGCACTTATTATAATATCATCGACATCATTTGGTCAAATTTTATCAACTAACCATACCAGTAAATGAACATGAGGAAGACCTTAAATAAATAAATAAATAATACTATTCATTTATTACCACATTTTTGCCACTCAACAGTATACATATAACACTGAGTTTCACCAAATATCCGATGTTTCACAATTAAGTTCATTAGAACTTTAATTTTTTGATGAAAAACTCTAGCGATAATGTCGTGTCTGTCTTGTGTAGTTTGACCATGTTTGAGTTCTCTTTTTATTTCCATCCAATTTGGATTACATGTAAATGTAATGAACAAATTTGGAGTCCCAAAATTACGAACGTAAGTCATGGCATCCATAGTTTTTTCGTGCATGTATTTAATAATTAATAGTATGTACAATATTTTAGATTGTTAAAATGAATATTACAGTACATTTTTCGTAGCAATTTTAAGTTATAAAATACAAAACATTTTATTACCTTAGACCTCCTGTAAATGAAGAAGGTAAAATAAAAAGTTGTCCAAGTCATTCACGTGACCATCATTTTCTATAGCATCATGTAAATGAATATAATTATTAATTTTGATTGATTATTCCGTATAAATAAAAGCCGTTCTGATTCTATTTTGGGATACATATCAACCTTTAAAAAAAATTACATTCTTTTTGTATTATTATAATGTTTATACATGACGTTGTTGATTAAGTTGAAAAAATATTGTTTACTTACCCAATATTTATTAATAAGTTTTCTATAATTATGTAAATGATTGTAGATATGATTAGGTGCCTCACCATCAGTCTATTAGCATAAAACTGTTTTGAAGAAACAGTTTTATGACTATTGTATTCATTTAAATTAACATTAAATGACAAAATATCAATAGCATAACCATCTTCACCGTGTAGAAATATCAGTGGATATTCTAGAGAATCATAAGACCTTAAAAACACATAAATAAAAATTAAGTAAAAATGTACAGTGTATACACTTTAAAAGGAATTTACCTATGAGTTTCACTTATTCGTTGTAACTTTTCGTCTTTTCTAGATAAAATTATATCGCGATTTCCATATTCTTCTCCAATCATTACTACTGCCATTTCTACTTGAGATGATGCATTAAATCTACCTCTATGTTGACCTTGAGGAACCATATTTGCATTTATGACTATTCAGTATTGATCAGTGGGCATATGATCCAATGCAATTTTGAACTTCGTAATTAAAGGATTGATATTATGTAACAATAATTGCAAATCTCTTATAATATCTAAATGTATAAATAAATAAATTAAAACGTTTTAAACAACAAATATATACAATATACAATTACCTTTATTCAATCCACTGCAAATACCCATTCGAGCATCAATTTGTTCCTCTTCGTCATCCATAAAATAAACTTGTAAATATTTATGATTTGTATTTGGTAAAGGCATCAACGATCCGGCTAAATGATATACTTGACCTCTTATTTTAAATGTAGGCATATAATTTTCCACAATAGTTTCTGCTGCTCCAAATGACGTCATATGAAATGCATTGTTATATTTAGTAATATTTTCTAAAAAGTGTTTTGAAATATTTGTTGAACTTTCCAAAAGAGTTTTCATTGGTTCTGGTGGTTCATCGATATTGGGAATACGAACAGTTCCATTTGAACAACACATACCAGCAGATTCTCCTTTAATTAAGAAAAAAATATAAAAAGTTTTCAAAATTCTAAAAATGTATACACTAATAATCTACCTTTGAATTTCATTGCATTGCAATATTGACAAATTACATCCATTACACCGATACAAACATCATCGTCGTCATAATATGGATGCTTAGGATTGTATAAATAGGCAGACCGGAATTTTACCCACTTGAAAGGTATATCACCTAAAGTATATGAATTTATAATAATTAATAATAAATAGTAGTGAAACATAGGTGAAGTATAATAAACAGATATATTATTTAATAATGTATATATACCACATACCAAATAATGTGGGTTCATCATTTGGTCTTAACCTCTTACGCTGTGTATTAAAAAACATATTGGTTTCAAAGTGACAATTACACACTCTAAAGTTTTTATTATTCGTACGAATATGGTTTTCACGTTCCAATAAATCGGTCCTGTTGCAACTATTAAGCCATTGTATTAACCTATAAGTATTTAAATCATTAGGTGGGTACACATTATAGAATTATTAATTACAATTATTAAGTATTAGCTGTTATTAAATACCTCTCTCCTCCATTTGGAATTGCATACGATGAAATTGCCTGAATGCAATTTGAACGATTTTCACAATGGAAAACGATGCACCTTTTATTACTCATAATAATGAATATTATTATTATTATAATAATTATTATTATTGAATTAATAATATATTTAAATCACACTTGAAAAAAAAATTAGATCTGTTAGTAACGCTGTACAACAATCGACTGAAGGTTTGGAGTTGGAGATGTCGATCTCATCGATCGAATAAATAAAGGAATGCGCTTGCGTATTAGAAACATTATTATAGGTCAATTATAAAGTAAAGAAAAAAAGAAAAAAAAAGAAACAGATATCGTTATTGGTGAATATATTTTTTAATTGGTAATTAGGTAATCTAATTATACATATAATTATTATTATTATTATGAGAGGAAGCGCTTAGGTAATAGACTCTCAAAACCGGTTTCCTTCGTCTCCAAAATCAAGTTAGATTCTTATTATATAGATAAACATATACAGTGTTATTCATAGTCATCGTCAAAAACCAAGGTTTAACCTAAGTTTGAATAAACTTGGTTTAATTCTTAGACCTTGGTTAAACTCGGGTTTAATAATGTATTATTCATAGTCAACATATTCAATGGTCTAGGCTAAGTTTTGAAAAACTGTGGATTATCTTTGGTTTATTATAAACAGCCATAGAGCCACCCAAATTTCCATATTATTACTAATTGTTGCCAATCTAAAAAAAAAAAAAATAAGGTAAAAATATATTCTACGTTCTATTATTTTAATGCAAACGTTACAGTTTTTCCCGGTGTTTTTTTTTCATTTCATTGTTACCGTTATATTTTATGAATTGTGGTAAAATATTTTTAGATTATCTATATGAATTTATTTTTAGTTTCGTGTTCTATTTTTGAGATTATTAGTGGTATTTAATTATTTAAAATTATTATTTAAATTGCGTGATTCTATTTTAAAATGGACAAACAAAAAAAGGTTAATTGGGAAAGTGGAGAGAAAGAGCTACTAACTAAAATCGTCACACCATTTATCAAAGTGATTGAAAATAAAAATTGTGACACAAATACGAATAAGTCAAAACTAGAAGCGTGGTCACAAATTTATAAAAAATATAATGGTAATTCAAAAACTCAAAGAACATTACTACAAATTAAAGGCGAATGGAAAAGAATGAAAATAGTTGCCAAAAAAATGTTTCGTTATATAAACAAAATTTAAAACAAACTGGAGGAGACTAACTAACCTCCACCAGAATCAATAAACAAATTAGACATGACATTGCAGTATTTAATGCCAATGGACTTTATTAAAGATGCAAACGATTTTGACTGTGACAATGACGGCTCAACTAAAAAGGTATAGTATTTATAATTTTTATAATAATTGTGATTATGAGTTTTTTGTATTTTTTTTCTGAGCTATTTATAGACATTTTAAATATTTTACTTTAATGTTGTTGTTAAAAAAAAAAAGTAGTGATTGTAATAATAGTAGTGTTTTTAATAATATTATTGACTTTGTTATTCTTTTTAACTATGATTATTATTTTTTTTCTTATTTAGATTGGCATAAACAAAACTGTAACAAATGATTTCAAAATATTAGATAAAGAGTCACCTGCATCATCGACAGCGACTTCAAATACCGGTATACAAATATGTGCTGAAAGCTTAGATGAGTTTTTACAAAGAAATGATTTTGAAGATGTAAGCCAATTTTATGTTAATTTAAATTATTTATTTGTTAATAAGTTATATTTAAATTTAAAGCACATAATCATTAATCATGACGTATTGATACACGATGAAGACCTTCAAATATTTTTTATATGATTTAATTAAATATCACAAAAAATAATATCAAATATTTAATATATATATATAATAGTAATACTATACATATATTATATTTTATATTATAATTAATTGTTAAATCAATAGTGACGCACCATAGAACGATATAAATACGTATAAACGTATAAGTACGGAAATAATTTAGATATACAAATGACTGAATACGAAGCAAATTTATTAAAAATACAAAAAGAAAAGTTTGAATTAGAAAAAAAGTTTTTGACTTTAGAACATCACTAGCGCTCTCTCATAAACGAAGCAAAATTGAAGTATTATGAATTAAAAACAAAACAGTTGGAGAACTTGAAACAGATTCAAGATTTAAACTGTTCTGATTAAATATAGGTATCAGATTACATTTTTAATTTCTCGTCATCTACTTATATTACGCAACAATTCTGTTATACCTATACATAATATACCTATACACTTTAATTATTATAAAATACTAAACATTATTCTTTATTATATTTATAACTATGTTATCAGTTATTTAGATACCTATAAGTAATAAACATATATTATGTGATTTGTTTTTAAACTATTTATTTACGATTGTTACAAAAATATATTGTTAAACAATACATATTAATATGATAATTATTAGGTACTAAAAAATATATTATGAAATTTGTTTTTATTTACAAAAGTTACAAGAATAAAAATAAAAAAGTTTTAACTAATAATAATATGATATGTAATCTACCTATAATATACATATTACATACGTTTAATAAAAAAAACTGTCGTATGTACTGCGCTCTTGCTACATTACCTCTATTTTGGTTTATTTGTACAACATTATAATTGTCCTCATCTGCAGAACTATCACTTTCACTTTCTTCATTATAATCATCATCTTCACTACTATCTTCTGTGCTACTGTTGTTGTTATCGTTAGGATTTATATTACTGATATTTAAGTGTTTTTTAAAATGTAATTTCATGTTGTGTAACACTGATAATGCTACTATAGCAATAGTGGCGCCGAATTATTTTTTTTTTTAGGTGTGGCAATGAACAATTACTTATATAGCCACCTCCCCCATTGGATATTGGCTATTAGAACTAAGTCGTGGGAGCAACCTCCGCCCCACCAATTTTTAATCTAAAAAATATTTTCACAAGTTATAATATTTACCGCATTATGTCTACAATATAGCATCATTTACTAATTTAACATATTACAGTTAAGATTATCTCCAGTAAAAGCCTCCTCAAAATGAAAATCAAGTTTTTATCATCTAAAAACGATATTCACAGTCACTGATTTAGTTATTTAAGCTTTTAGCTAGGTAGGTACATCATATCATTCAGTAATAAATAGAACTATTACATTTTTTTTCTTATACCCATGTAAATATATGTATATTATTTGGTTAATGGTTTGCATAATATTTTTTGAGTATAATGTACTATAGTAATACCTACTTAAAATTTCTATAAAAAAACTGTGCTTGTATATTTTTTAGATTTTTGGTAACAGTATTACCCACTCATGAGAAATCTCGTTTTAAATTTCCGATCTTTAGCTATAAAAATTGAACATTTTATAAATTTTTAACCAAAATAACGTTCGTGGTATATTAACTAATTTTGTAAAAATCTGTACTTAAAATGCTTACAAAAAAAAAAAATAATCGTACATAATGTATCTTCATTATTTAAAAATTGCTATTATAACAACTTATGAGGAACCTTGTATTAATTGTTTAAGCTTTTAGACCCGTCTCTAAATAGGTCAAAAAAAGTAGAAATATTTTGAACATTTCATCATGTAGGTACCTTTAGACAGTTGTAATATTTTATCATAATCATTTGGTGAAAAATTGAAGTATCTATTTATAGTTGATTTTTGAATTACAACAAAATATAAAAAATCGTTTGAGGAGAAATTATTAACTAACTGTTGAATATCCATCGTAAAAAATTAATATCAAATGTTTAAGCGAAATGATTCTAGTGTTGGGAATAGCTCACTAAAATAATATCTAGATAAAGATTTTTAAAATAAAATATCTTGAAATACACAAATATTGGTTAGGTTACA